AGAAATCTCAGGCTTAGGAGTTAGTCTTTTGTTGTGCTTACATTAATTTAAATGCTTACCTTATTCTAAAAACAAATATTCAGAACTAACATCTAAATCGCATGAATTATACACATTTTAATTGGCATGTTGAATGAAAATCATTCTTCTTGAAAAACAAAACCTGAAAAACAGAAGCTAGGCGTATCCGAATGCTTACATCAACATATATAGAACATCAAACAAAAAACAATTTTATTATATTACTTGCATTAACAGTTTAGTAACAGTTTAAAACATGAAACAAAACAAGAGCATCCAATTAATTTTTACTATCGTTTATGAAAACAGCAACTTTTTTATTGTTATGATATTGATTTGCAGAACGTTTCTTCTTTACCAGAGTAAGCTTTCCAATAACAATAACTTCCATGGTTTAGGTTTTTGGTCATAAAATGTTTCTTCTCACTGGTGTAAACAAACGAATGGGTTTAGTTATTGTGGGTTATGTCTGGATTGAAATGAACCAAAAAATTACTGCAGTGGTGAAATGCTTTTTCAACCCTATCGTTAGAATTACAGCCTTGAACTTTTTCAATTTCCAGTATAGAGGTGTATTTTTGAACTTATATGAAAACATTTATTGAGGATTTGCACGTGACGTCACGAGCAGGGAAACAACGGAGTCTCGGCCATTGTGGACGTCAAGCTTCCGCGTGTTTACTCCAGGCTTAGCAGTGTGAACTTTACTTGTCTTAAATGACTTAGTGCCTTGGCTTCATCAGATGTCATCATGATAATTACTTGTTGTGCTGTTGAATGTAGCAATAGACAGGGACAAAAGCCCGGTCTTCCTTTCTGTCGTTTTCCAAAGGACAAAGAGGGATAGAATCGATAGGTTTCAGCTGTCAATCGGAAAGACTAGGAACTATCAGACTACAACTGTCTGTGTAGAGAACATTTTATAGCAGATATGAATGCTAATTTTTCAATAGTATATAAATAAATGTCAGATAAATTTATCCTTTTATGCTATCGGATAAAAATGTAAATGATTATCCAGCTCCAAAAACCAGGTAAACGTTTTGATAGCATGACAGTATAGGCCTGCATTATCGCCCAAAATGACACACAAAACACAACAAACAAACTTGTCAGAAACCGTGTCTCTGCTTTGTAGCTCGGCTCAAATATGTATTAGGAGTCCCATGGTCATTTCAGTATGATATTTGAGTAATATTTTGTTATATTTCATATATACTTAGATCTGGCATGCAATAAACTTTATCAGTCCGTTACATCATTATTTTTTCAACAGTATCTAAGTGTCATTTCAATGTTAGAATTTTCCTGAAAGTCGGGAAATTTTACAATATGAGCCAAACAGATCAGAAATAGTTCCATTTTGATTCAGTTCTTCATGAATAATTATTTTTTTGCATCATAATATTAATAGACTAAGACAGGCTGCCAATACATATAATTCTGTTGATTAAATTTCCAGGTGCCAAGAGTGACCAACCACTCTCCCCTGTCTATATTCCTGCTTTGTTTTTTTGCATCAAGTCACCCTAGAAGAGACGAGCAGCGAAGAATATGGCCAAATTTCATACACGCCAGGCAATGAAAAAAAGGAAGTCGTGAGGGGTGAACTGTGGTAACGATGCGGCTACGTCTCTCACGACGTCGGTAAATAATTTGTCTGGCAAAACGTACGGGTCACTTTGCTTCAGCTTTTGCAGGTGTCGCTGTCGATGTTCTCCCTGCAGATGTTTAACACCCTCAAATAATGTCAGTGACGAAGTATCTGACATAATTTATTGCACTTTGAACTCTGCTGAGTTTATCTCACACGTGGTATATCGTAGTACTATAGACTCCAGCGTGACGTCCAAAATGGTGGACAAGCATGCATCAAGTGAATTTAGTCACGTGTCTGCAAAACCTCAATATACAGCAATGTAGGGCAGAAGTAAATAAATACACGTGTAGGTGTTTTACATAACACATAAATCCAAGCTAATCTTTAACTCTGAAACACCAAGCTACTAAATTACACCCAAAGTTCTAGTGTATTCTGCAAGATAAATTTGTAAAAAAAAAAATTACTGATAGAAAGCTTTTTAATTTTGCCTCCAACTAATCTTTTTTTTATATATATTTTCCCCAAAATAATTGTTATTTACTATTTATGTGGGGGCAGTATTTTATGTAAATGAAAGTTTTAATTTCAGGATACTAAGTGATTACGTCAGTATTAATCAAACAGAGTATTACTTTAAACTGTGTCATAAATAACATTAAAACACTTGTAGAAAGAACGAACCATAAATTGAAAGTAAATTCTCATTTTACTGTAAGATACATTTTAATTTAGAACTAATAAACATATCCATTTAAAGTTTTTAAGCAGATCTTATTTGTTGTTTAATTAGTGTGTTTCCTGAGGTTTTAAAAAATATATTTATTTAGCAAAACACAGAAATGACAAAGGCTTGAATGTTAGCCCATCAACTTCCTAAATCATACAGATTAAGATGGCTTGCTTAGGTGTACGACGAAAAATCATATTTGATTTAGTGAAAAGCTGCAATGAGTTATCTGCTATGTCCACCGCGGGGAATCGAACACCGGATGTTAGCGGTATAACTCTGTAGACTTATCGCTGTCCCATTGGAGGACAAAATACTATACCTTCATTCCTTTACTACGAATAAAGTTTTCAAATTTAGATAAATATTGACTGAACTAGACAATAAAATATTCAAAAATGATTCGACCACCATTTCAATCCACACCACTGATTAAAATATTTGTTATCGAAACGTTTGTTTTTAAAGATATTTTATTTAAATTTAATGTATCACTTTTAGATTTATATATGTATATGTATTCTAAAAAAATACCTATCTATATTTTATATTTGAATGAACTGAATACTGTTTCTGCATATTTTTGTTTCGATGGAGACGTGACATAAAATTGTTTAGATTCTTTCATCTGTGAGAGGGTAAGGCAGGTCGCTTAAACATTTTTTTCTTTTGTTTTATGTCACAAACACTGCCTTAGGTATTCTTGCCTAAAACATCTATATACTTTCACAGCAATAATGGCAAAGTAGTGTTTCAAGGGAGAATGAAGGAAACGTGGGGCTGGTAATATCTGCATTGGCACTTTATGAATGGATTTATAACGCTGTTTATGTGAATATTTCCCAAAGACACGTGTAAATTTGATTCTTCCAGTCGTATGAATATAATAACAAAGGAAATATATCTATCTTAAAATGTTACAAACTGATGACGTCAATCTATCACAAGTAGCTTATCATTCAATATTAGAACACATCAGCTAGACTTGGACCCAAGACAGCCATAAAGCTACTTGCTATATTCTTTTTATGTAGCACTAGAAACTAAAGGTATGGTTTGTAAACGACTAAGTTAGAGAAGTACGAGAGGCTATTACGCCAAAGAAATGTGCTGAACGATAACACAACTATTTCTGCACCTGCCAGGATTACTTTCAATAATATAATATAAAAGAATCCCCGTCCTACCAAAGATGCTCGCCCTTTCAGCCGTGGGGGCGTTATAATGTGACGGTCAATCCCACTATTCGTTGGTAAAAGAGTAGCCCAAGAGTTGGCGGTGGGTGGTGATGACTAGCTGCCTTCCCTGTAGTCTTACACTGCTCAGTTAGGGACGGCTAGCGCAGATAGCCCTCGTGTAGCTTTGCGCGAAATTCAAAAAACAAACAAACAAACAAAACAAACAAAACTTCTGTCTCTAGATACGCATTGTATAGACTACTATGATGAGATACCCATCCCTAATTTTTACGTAAAAGTTAATCGCTAAACTCACTTGATTCGTTGCCAGGATCTCTTGGTCAACAGGCTGAGGCCACAACTCAATCAAGTAAGCTCGACTGTAAGCCCGTTATTTAAGCTATATAGTGAAGTTATCTAATTATAGGAGTAGTGACATTACGTATCAATATTCAAGAATGCATCTTGAGATATATTTAGTATATATATTTAGGGTATATTTAGTAATAATGATAATATCTTTTGATAAAAATATTCTTCAAAGCCGATGAAGATTAGAATATAATAATAATTCGTTTAAATAATTCCACATCTTCACAACAGTAGTAACCTGTTCTATCAGCGGATGTTGCTCCTACTGACCTAGGTTGCAGCTTAATTCCGCCAAGTTTCTCGTGTTTAAACTAAAGTAATACCAATGTCAAATGGATCTCTGTGTTTCAGTTAAATAATATAAATATATTTTAGAATTACTTGGTATAAAGTAACCCTAAAAAGACGGATTTCATGTCACACTGAAAATACAACCATTGATCAAAGTGATCTGTACAACTATATAAGAATCGACCAATTTGATTGACTTATGTCAAATCAAAAGCATAACCAATTGATTAAAATGACATATATAGCAATAACACAAGATCAATTTGACTGAATTATGTCATATCAGACACATAACCAACATAAGTCAATCAAATTGATCGATTCTGTTATTGCCGTACAAGACATTTTAATCAATTGGTTATGTGTCTGATATGACTGATTAAAATGTCTTGTACGGCAATAACAGAATCGATCAATTTGATTGACTTATGTCATATCAAAAACATAACCAATTGATTAAAATGTCTTGTACGGCAATAACAGAATCGATCAATTTGACTGAATTATGTCATATGAAAAATGCAACTGATTTACGCGAATGACTTTTGCATCAATGTTACTGCCTTATAAAAAGGTACTTTATATCTAATTAAAATTATTTAAACGCAGTTCCAGTTTTTTAAACGATCATATCAACTTACGATAGCAAAGCGATACTATGATAAAAAAAATCATTAGGTTTATTAACTCTTTAGGGTCCCCCAGTGGCACAGCGGCATGTCTGCGGACTTACAACGCTAGAAACCGGGTTTCGATACCCGTGGTGGGCAGAGCACAGATAGCCCATTGTGCAGCTTTGTGCGTAAATTCAAACAAACATATAACTCTTTAGTATATGAATCCAAAACGTTTCTTAAATTACATATATTCAGACGTCTCTTTTCACATCAGTACGTTGCATCAAAACAAGTCATGTTTTATGCCCCTTCCTATAATAACTTTAAACACTTTAAAAATATAAACTGTTAAACCTGCTGATTCAGAAATCAAGTAGATTCGTTAGAATCAAAATCCTCACTTGGGAGAGGATAGAGAGGATACCAGCACACTGACTTTGTTAAGTCCAAGCGACCTAGTTCAATTTCAACAGCTCCGATTGGTTGGTTGTGGTCAAAACCTTTCTGTCGTTGAAACACCATAACCTAGAAGGAAGATGGACGCGAGAAAGTAAATACAAGGAGTACAAAGACTTATGTATAGATAATGGTTGGTTAATTTATTCGTGGAGTATTCTCAGCTAAAGGGTCATTGTGCTATAAAGTATATTTAAAGGGTTAATTGTAGTTTACCGTCAGGCATTTTTTGCGTCATCACAGTATTGATATGAACTTTATAGCCTATGATTTAATGTGACAATTAAGAACTAGAAATTAAACGGTAGTTTGATCCAACCAATTTTTACTAAATGACTTTCAACTAAAGATATTCCACCATTCAAAAAAATATTGAATATGCGACATTGGTCATGATACTACCACGGCGAGGAGATGCATTGGATTTGGTAACAGCACTTTCGTATTATAAAGACTGAAGAAAAAACAGCGTTAAGATATAAGAAACGCAGAATAATTAGCTGAGTTAGCACTGTATAGTAAAATCAAATCCCAAGCTTACATATTTTGAATTAAGAAATCTAATAAACCTCATATGTTTATGTTGGTCTGGAAAATTAACTTCTTGACCAAAAAGCATAACTTGAGATGTGAATATTTTGTAACTTTATTGACAGGGAATTGGGTTTTGATCGAAAAGAAATGAGATATTTCGAAGAAATAACAAGAAAACTTATTTCTGGCTTTCTCATAGAGATTAAAGTAAATATATATAACATACTGTGATTTTAACCGTAAACATACCATAAGATTTAAAGTTTTTTTAAATATTCTAACAGGAAATAGCATATTATTTTCAATGGTACCGCCATTTACAGAACAAGTTTTCTTCTAGAAATTGTTTTTAATAATATAGTTTTATTTATTACCAATAGATGGCGCGCAAGAATGTCCGATGCACTGTACTTCAACGTCTGTCGATATTGTGGATTTGAAGTACAGCGAACAACTCGAGTCTTTCGTTTTTGCATTTGTCGTTGTCCTTCCTTCAGAAATGTTTTGATGTAAGTATCTTGAAATACAGGAATAAAGTTACGTAAATAATTTTTACTTGTAAAATGCGTAAATATATAATGAAACCATTATACGACAACATTAGTAAAATTTGCTTAGACACATTTAAAATATTTAGCTAAAATATGTATTCTGAAATTTAATTTTCCAAATAGAATGAAGTTTCGAAAGATAAAACCTAAAACCCAATAAAAAATATGAAATATTTGTTGCGAAAATCTATCAATGCTTCATTTTGCATATAAAATTTTCAAACTATAGATTTTTTTTTTATTGCCATTAAAGTCAATTTTTTACATAATCTGATTATTGAAATAATCAAAAGCCTAAATCACTTGCTCACGATCACAAATAGAAAGTACAGCCTTGGTGTATATTTCTTTGTGTCCGCAGTTCAATTTTATAATGTATTCGTATGAACCAGTAAGGCAGTGAGTTTAATAAAGGCTGGAGACGGCTTAAATGGGTAATGAAGAAAAACTTTAATATAAGTTTAACATGAC